CAGAGTCTCACTTTGTCACCCTTGATAGAGTGCTGTGGCATCACAGCTCACAACAACCTCCAAGTCCTGGGCTTGTGCGATTGTCTTGCCTTAGCCTCCTGAGTACCTGGGACGATAGGCACCTGCCACAATGCCCAGCTATTTTTTGTTGTTGCAGTTTGGCTGGGGCTGGGCTCAAACCCACCACCCTCGGTATATGGGGCCAGCACCCTACCCACTGAATTACAGGCACTGCCCAAGAGAAAGAGTCTTAAGGAAACTTCTCCCACACCCACATTCAAATCCATTTTAACTCACTTGGATTTAAAATAACCACCAGGTTGGCTAGGGGAATAGGATTTTAAAGGATTTCTTTTGCTTGTCAGTTTTTCAAGTTTTATCAATGGTTCTTATTTTGTACAGTTTAATTCATAAGCAACCTCCTAATTTAAAAAATTGTGACAGGCCAGGGGCAGTGGCTCACAGCTATAATCCTTGTACTCTGGGAGGCCAAGGTGGATGAATCACATGAGCTCAAGAGTTTGAGACCAGCCTGAGCAAGAGCAAGACCATGTGTCTACTAAAAATAGAAAAACTAGCTGGGCCTTGTGGCAGGAACTTGTAGTTCCAGCTATTCGGGATGCTGAGCAGGAAAATATCTTGAGCCCAAGAGTTTGAGGCTACTGTGAGCTATGATGATACCATGGCACTCTACCCAGGGTGATGGAGTGATACTCTGTCTCAGAAATAAAATATAGCTACTCAGGAGGTTGAGGCAAGAACTTGAGGCTTAAACCCAAGAGTCTGAGGTTGTTGTGAACTATGATGTCAGAGCACTCTACCCAAGGCTACAAAGTAAGACTATGTCTCAAAAAATATGAGTAGAATCATGTAGTATCTGAACTTTTGGATCTGGCTTATTTCATGGAACACAATGTCTTCAAGGTTCATCTGTGTTGTAGCAAGCATTGGAATCAATTGATAAAGTTTTTATTTCCTCTCCCCACGCAAGACTCCTGCAGAACTGTGCACACAGAAAGCAAGTGTTGACTGAGTTGACTGCACCTTGCTTCACCCTTCATTTTTACATCCGAGGAATCCCAGGTCTCAAGGGAGGTGGACAACCACCATGGTCACTGAGGCTGAGATGCAGTTTGAGTCCTGGTCTTGAGAGAAGACTCTTTGGTGCCACCAGCCCACAGAGCTCTAGACATGTGGCAGCAGTAACAGTGGCCCCTCTGTGACCTTGGATGGATGGTTCCTTTCCTGTCTTGGGGCCACTGTGTACTGCTTCTCAGGGACTCTTTCTTAGGTCTTTTTTTTTTTTTTTTTTTTGAGGCAGAGTCTCAAGCTGTCATCCTGGGGTGCTATGGCATCATAGCTCACAGCAACCTCAAACTCTTGGGCTTAAGCGATTCTCTTGGCTCAGCCTCCCAAGTAGCTGGGACTACAGGTACCCACCACAATGCCCAGCTAGGTTTTTTGTTGCAATTGTCATTGTTGTTTAGCTAGCCCAGGCGGGGTTCAAACCCTCCAGCCTCAGTGTATGTGGCCAGTGCTATAACCACTGTGCTATGGGCACTGAACCTCTTTCTTAGGTCTTGTCCAATCAAGGTATAGTTGGTGGTCCAGGAAGCTCAGCACTCTGAGACCACAGGGTCCTCATGGATCTGTTCCTTGGCCCCTTTCCTGGTGGCTTCTATCCCTGCTGGTAGCTCAGAGGCCGAAAGGTCTCATTTTCCCTTCTCCCCTATGTCTCTGGACACATCTCAACCCAGATCTTCCCAGACTAGAGGCCAGATCAGAGCAGGCCTTCACAAAGAGAATACCACCATTTGTCCAAAGGGCAACCTCCAAGGACATGGCCTTTGTTCAGGCCTCCCAGAGTAAATGGGGATCCTTCTTCAGACCACCTCTGGTAGGAGCTGGGCTTGACAGAGGCCAGACATAGCAGGTCATCAGAGTCCCTTGCTGACCCTGTAACTCCTCTTCTTAGGGGACAAGCCTCTAACATTGGAGAGCCACAGCAGCAGGTCTTAAATATGTCATACCCAGCACCTTGGTTGGTTCCAAGAACATAAACATCAAGCCTTCCATTGGCCTCCAAGGAGACCCCAATTCCTGGGGGCATATGGCCAAGACCTTGGCATAGACTAGGTGGAATAGAGAGTTCTGGACTCTGAAACCTGCAGAGGTCAAAGAGGAAGGCCCAGGAGGCATCTCCAGGGCCCAGAATAGTCTACAAAGGCCAAGACTCAGGGTTTTGGGCTTTCTGCTCACCAGGCTGTGAGTGAACCTAGACCCTTTCAAAGCTGCCTTGAACATTTCTGCATCTCCAGCCTTTCTCAGTTTCTTTCCTTTTGTATTTTTTTTTTTTAAAGGAGACGGGCTTGGCGTCTGTAGCTTGGAGAGTAGGGCACCAGCTACATACACCAAAGATGGCAGATTCAAGCCCAGCCTGAACCTGCTAAACATAATGACAACGGCAGCCAAAAAATAGCCAGGCATTGTGGCAGGCTATTGGGAGGCTGAGGCAAGAGAATCACTTAAGCCCAAGAGTTTGAGGTTGCTGTGAGCTGTGACGGCATGGCACTCTACTGACAGGGCAACATAGTGGGACTCTGTCTCAAAAAAATAAAAAAATAAAGGAGACAGGGTCTCACTCTGTCACCCAGGCTGGAGTAACACTGAGGGCAAACTAGTGTTATCATCATAGCTCACTGCAGCCTCAAACTCCTGGGCTTAAGTGATCTTCTTGCCTCAGCCTGCTATGTAGCTGGAAACACAGATGCATGCCACCACCTAGCTAATTTATTCATAGTCTGCAGAGTTGGGATCTTGATTATGCCACTGCACTCCAGCCTGAGTGACAAAGCAAGATCCTGTCTTTAAAAAAAAAAAAAAGGGGCGGTGCCTGTGGCTCAGTGGGTAAGGCTCCAGCCCCATATACCAAGGGTGGGAGGGTGGCAGGTTCAAACGCGGTTCCTGCCAAACTGTACTCTACCCAGGGTGATAAAGTGAGACTCTGTCTCTAAAAAAGAAAAAAAAACATAGCATCTTTCTCACAGGCTTATTATGAGAATGAGATAAAGTAACCCTGATGTTGCCCTTAGAATAGTAAGTCATCAGGCTCGGCACCTGTGGCTCAAGCAGCTAAGGCGCCAGCCACATACACCTGAGCTGGTGGGTTTGAATCCAGCCCGGGCCCACCAAACAACAATCATGGCTGCAACCAAAACATAGCTGGGTGTTGTGATGGGCGCCTGTAGTTCCAGCTACTCAGGAGGCTGAGGCAAGAGAATCACTTAAGCCCAGGAGTTGGAGGTTGCTGTGATGCCACAGAACTCTACCCAGGGCATCTCAAAAAAAAAAAAAAAAAAAAAAAAAAGAATAGTAAGTGGTCAATAAATATTAAGCTTTGGGTTTTTTCCCTCCCTTTTCCCCTGAATTTGCTCTTCCAAAGTTTTCCGGGGTTTCCAAGAACAAAGCCTAAACTGTCATGGCTTGACATTCTCATCATTTCCATTTCCCTGAGTTGGTTTCTGGAGTTTTTTTTTTGGTTAACGTTTTAAGTGTGTATCTGTGGTGAGGAAAGAGGGTGGGACCAGGGCGTGTGTGGTGTGTGGCTCCTGTTGGAGAAGATAGCAGGCTAGACCTAGGCTGAGGAGAAAGCAGCCAGGCCCGACCCTATAGCAGGAAAGTCTGAGAAAAGAATAGACAACGGTTATTTCTGAGGGCAAACTAGTGTTATCTGGAAAATAGGTCCTCTTGGTGCATCCCAAAGGATGTCTGCTTTCTGGGCAGAAATGTTTGGGAAACAATGACTCATGTGCTGGACAGCCTCTGGGACTATCACGGCCACACCCCCACTTCTTGAGCTGCCCCAGGAGGGACCCAGAATTACCAAGGACTGAAGACTTTCTTGAGAAAGCTTCCTGTGGATGATTTTTATGTCTGTTTTCCTCTCACAAGAGCAGAGGAGCAGGTGAGCAATTTTCTCTGGACTGTAGGTTTCTCAAGCAGCATGGCCTTCAGGTGTGGCTAGATCCAGGGCCTCTGATGATGTCCTTAATTCCACATTTCCTGTCTCTTGCCTCTGTGTTGGCATAATTCACAGGTTCGATGTGGAGACCAGGTGCTGCCAGTAGCTCCAGGCTTACAACAGCCTTGCTGATGACAGTTCTGGAGTTTAGGGAAAAAAAACAAGGAATTTCAGGAATTGACTCCCAGTGGCTCTGATTGCATCACACAAACCCTTTCCTGACTTGGTCCCTATGGTCAGGGCTGTGTGGTGTTCTGATTGGCCAGGCCTGAGGTCATCAGGGGTGTTGTCAGCTCTGCCTTAGTCCTTGAGAACCTAGAGTTGAGAGTGGAGTGGCTGCCCAGGACAAGCAGGGTGGTATTATAGGGAAAGGAGGAGAGGACATTGAACATGCAGGTACCAGAGATGCTCACCCTGGGCTTTGAAAGGTGCCATAGGAGTCCTGGGAAGGAAGTACATCACCCTACCTATAGGAGTCTGGAAAGATTCCCCAAAGGAGAGGATATTTGGAATTGGGCATGAAGGATGAGTAGGAGTTCACCCAGTGGCAGCATGCGGACAACAGGCAGCTGGTGATCTAGTAGTTAGTGAAGCAGGTACAGGCAGGAAGCCCAGTCATACTATTGCGTTTTATCTCTGTGTCTAGTGATGGTCCCTTCTGCCGGATCTGCCATGAGGGAGCAAATGGGGAGAGTTTACTGTCTCCATGTGGCTGTACTGGCACATTGGGTGCCGTGCACAAGAGCTGTCTAGAGAGGTGGCTCTCCTCGTCCAACACCAGCTATTGTGAGCTGTGCCACACAGAGTTTGCAGTGGAGAAGCAGCCCCGGCCCCTCACAGAGGTACCCTGGGGAGCCCAATTTGGGGGTGGGCAGAGGGGAAGAAGGCAGGTATGGGGATTGGAGACTACCCTGGGGGATTCTCCTGGGCCAGGGAAGCAGCTTCTCCATATGGTGAACCTTTCTACACTCCTCTCAGGATAGATTCTGCTGATAAGGGTAGGAGACCAGGCCTGAGTTTCTAGACGGGCCAAAGCCACTACCCTCTTGCTGTTTTGACTTACTCTTTCATGAACAAATATTTCCTGAGCACTTCCAGGTGCACAGAACTCTGTTTTGTATTGGGTACCCAGCCACCAACAAGACATGTATGACTGGTGCTCATGGAGATTTTGAAGCAACCGGTTGTTGGGAGCAATGGTGCCAGGACAGAAATGTATATGGGTAGTGGGGCACGTACAGGGCAAAAACTTGAGGGTCAAGCGAGGTCTTGACAGGATGAACTCTCAAGCAGAGGCTGGAGGGATGAAAAGGAGCCAGAGAACCTTGGGAAAGGCAAGCCTGGTAGAGGACACACTGGGTTCAAAGGCCCTGAGGTGGCAAGCACTTGGTGTCCTTGACAAACCCTATGTGAATTGAGTTAAAGGAGGAGGAATGAGGCCTTAAAGGAGGTGGCAGTGGCCACACCAGGCCATACCCAGGAGCTTAAACTTTAACCTGGGTGTGATGGGTCAGGATGGAAATAGGGTGATCCTGGGTGTGGTGGGTGCGTTTGTTGCTGCAATGAAACACTGCCTATGGCTGCTTGAAAGTCACCAGGCTCCTCCCTGCCTGACCTAGCGTAAGGTGGCAGAGAACTACTGGGTACATATCTTAGGGGTGAAGTGTGATAAACAGATCCCATCCCTGAGGCTGTACAGCAGTCAGGGACCCCTTAGGGAGCCTGGGGTGCTGTGTGCCCCCTAAATCGCCCCTGACTCAACTGGTAGGTGGGATCTTAAGGAGAAAGATAGGAGAGAGAGATCTAGCCCCTGCTCACACCCCCTTCCACTGCCCCTGGGCCCTTCTGCTGTAGCCACACGGGCCTTCTTCCCTCTGCACCTCCTGCAGGCTATACACTCCGATTTCAAGGCCTTTGCAAGTGCTGCTCAGACAGGCTGGAGCACTGTCTTTTCCATTCTTTTTTTTTTTTTTGAGACAGTCTTACTATGTTGTCCTCAGTAGAGTGCTGTGACATCACAGCTCATAGCAACCTCAAACTTTTGGGCTTAAGCGATTCTCTTGCTTCAACCTCCCAAGTAGCTAGACTACAGGTGCCCGCCACAATGCCTGACTATTTATTTTGTGGTTGCCTGGGCTGGGTTCAACCCCACCAGCCTCAGTGCATGTGGCCGTCACTGTAACCACTGTGCTATGGATGAGCCTATCTTTTCCATTTTTTTTTAGGAGATTTTTAAAAATTAATTTATTTATTTATTATTTATTTTTTTGGCCAGGGCTGGGTTTGAACCTACCACCTCTGGCATATGGGGCTGGTGCCCTATCCTTTAAGCCACAGGCACCACCCTTCTTTTCCATTCTTCACATGGTTCCTTCTGCTTATTTTGTTCTGCTCAAGGTCACCTCCATGGCAGGGCCTTTTCCTACCTGACCATTCACCCATGTCATACATCCCCCTGCTGATGTGGGGGGAGGCAGGGACTTTTTCAGTCCTGAGTAATAGAATTTCATGAGGAAGCCCATTTCTCTCCACCCATCATCTGGGGGAGGCCAAGCACAGCAGGATATCAGCTAAGGGCAGCCAGATCCCGGAACAAGACTTTCTGGGTTCCAGCCTTGGCTTTGGAGACTACTAGTTGTGTGAGTTTGTACAAACGAGTTAACTTTAACCTTTCTATGCCTCAGTTTCCCCATCTGTAATATGAGTGCAAAAATACCTAGTGCCTAGCAGGGCCTGGCTCAATATGTGTTTGAAAGAAGGACAAGAAGGAGCATGGAGATCCTGGCCCCCAAGTCCCTCAGCAGCCCCCTTACCTATTGGCTCTCCCTGCAGTGGCTGAAGGACCCCGGGCCGCGGACAGAGAAGCGGACACTGTGCTGTGATATGGTGTGCTTCTTGTTCATTACACCACTGGCTGCCATCTCCGGCTGGCTATGCCTGCGTGGGGCCCAGGACCACCTGCGGTTGCACAGCCGGCTCGAGGCCGTGGGGCTCATCGCTCTCACCATTGCCCTCTTCACCATCTATGTCCTCTGGACGCTGGTGAGTAGCTGCCAGCCGCAGCATAGACATCTGGGACTTTCCCACTGGGAGCAGAAGAGCCAGGGGTTTGCTTGGTGATTTGGGGGTGGGGAGGAAGTGGGGCTTCCTGGTTGGCTGCCTCTGCCTATGGCCCCAGGTGGAATGGAGTCCCTGAGTTCACCCTGCATTTTGAGGAGCACCAGATTCTGTGACAAAGGGTCAGGGAAGCTGTGAGCCTGTTGTGAGCTTTGTGCTCTAAGAGTTTAAGTGTACCTTATTGCCAGTCTGGAGTATAGGACTTGTCTCTCCATCCATGAACTCTCAAGTCTAGGGATGGAGGAAAGGAAAGGAGCAAAAGAGTGAGAGAGAAAGATACTGAGAGTAAGAGATAGAGGATGGATAGATATTAAGAATTGGCTTAGGGGCTCGGCGCCTATAGCTCAACCGGCTAAGGCGCCAGCCACGTACACCTAAGGTGGCGGGTTCGAATCCCCAGCCTGGACCCGCCAAAC